TTTCCCAGAAGACCCAACAGGACTCTAGAACATTTGTGCAGTCTGAAAATTCAATAAAAGAATGGAAACAAACCTGAAGTACTTACCAGCAGAACACAGCAGGCAAGATTTTAAAAATGCCTTTATTTCTATTTTGCTTCTTTTTGAGTTTTCTCTATTCTGAAAGGTTTCTTCTAAAATATATCAAAATTAAACCTAGTACTAGCATTAAAAAGCACTATTAATACTGCCATTGTTACCAAAAAAGATGCAAGTGACTCCATCTCAAAACTCTGGCTGAGAAAAAAAATTAAGTAAAAACTGTGAATATAAATGCTAAAACCAAGAAAGCTTAAGAACCTCCATAGAGGAGAAAAGATGACATTTTGAGCTAAAGAATAGAAAATAAAAAATTGTAGACTCTGACAAATCATAGGAACATGAAAAAACCCTCAGCCTTAGCATCAATAGATTTGCTGACAGTTTGCAGGCCACCAAAGATTCTGAAGTAATTCTGAAGAAATCATGTCTGTCCTGCTGTTAACAACATACAGAAGAATGCAAGGGAAAATATTTACAGTTTATGACTGCTTGCATAAAAGAGGCAATTCACAGCCAAAGTAATTATACTGTAATTACACAAGCTGGAAAAAGATTTCTTACACCAAAAAGCGTATTAATTCCCCATTAACAGAACTTACTAGAGAAGGTGGCCACACACAGACTCACAAGCATGCCAAAAATAACCCAAGGTGTTGTGTATCTAAATTTAATTCCCACAATTTTTTTGTTATTTTTAAGAAATAGGGATGTGAAAGCACTTAACTTAGTTTTTATAAAGTGCTTTTCCCACCTTTTTATACATACATGTTAGATTCTTTCCGTTTCCGAATTAATTTTACACGGTGAGTCGTAAAATCATAAGCAAATTAGAAAACATATGCCAGGAGAAAATGCTGTTTTCAACTACTTATATAATGTTCATATTCAAAGCAAAACTACTGTAAACCAGTACTCCTTCTACTGGAATCCACTTCCTGGCCCTCAAAATGCCACAGTTGAGATTATCTATCACCATGAGCATAACTCCTTCGGTATTATTAATAATTCTGTAATCTTCAAATAAAATCTATCATCTTACCTAAAAGGATCATGAAAATCCAAGTCAATATGAAGTCCGTTTAGAAATAAACGTGCTTCTCCAGGTTGGATTCCAAGTTTTTCATGAAAATGCTAAAAAGTAAAAAGTACTGCTAATTTATTTAGGTATGTGTCAACACTAACACACATATATAAAACTTTAAATAATTCTGCAAAACAGACACATCAAATCTCTTCCACATAATTTCTTCTTTTATCTGAGTGTTGTTGGTAAAAATATCGACAACATACTTTTATGAGTGCTATTTAACACACTTTTAATGTACAAAAGAAATGAAAATAGCTGCTAATTCCACGCCCCCCCGCCAAATGACCTATAGTGTCCCTACCTGTACAAGGCAGAGCAAGGACACATTCTCGGTGTCTGCCAACAGAAAGTGGAAATAAACACACATACAGAAATATGGCTTGTAAGCTTTTAAAAATTACTCCTATGTTTCCATTCAACAAAGGGAAACCTTATATGTGTCCTTCAGACCTCCACCTGAAACTAGATTTCTCAATAGTTTAACATCTTTCACAATTCCAAAAACCGTGTAGTCGCAATTGTTACAGGGAATTAGGAAAGACAGACTAGAAGCATACAATCTCTTCTAACAAAGGGACCTTGGAAAAAACAGAGATCAGAAAGGAATAGCAGAGCATATCCTTGCTTTGCAAAGACAAAAAAAAATCCACAATCAACGAATGCAAGAGGAAGTAAGTATTTAGGGAGTAAAGTATGTCTTATTTCAGAGAGCTGCAAGGCACCACACTGTTCAATCCATGGTGGCTGTAGCAAAATAACAGGAGCAACAGCAGTAGTTTATTCCAACTCACCCCATGAGGAGCAGTCGGATTTCCAGATCTGTCTTAATTCCCAACAGAGGAATGGAAAGCACGAAAAATATGCAGGAAAAAAGGCAAGCTGAGAAAGCTGTATTTTCTTCCCATTTAGCTCCCACTTGCTGAACAAAATAAGTGTAAACAAAAAGTGCACTTTGAAAAAAATCACACTTAGAGCAAGCAACTCAGGCTGCATATATTACTCCACTTATAAGCCTGTCACTGAACAAATGAGAGAAAAAATAGGAAAACATTGAAAGTGGTATTATTTCTTTAAAGTAGTGTGGTTACTTTCATACAGTTAAACGTAAGTAAACACAAAACTAACTGGGTTGTGGCATTACAAGTGCAATGCCACATAAATGAGACAACAGTTTACTTGAAGTTCCTTGTAATCCAACATATGTGCATATTACTCCTCATTCACTGAAAAGGTACTATATTCTTTCATATACATGAACAGTTTCACAATCCAAGGCAGAATGGAAATATGTAATGACACCTAATACAACTGTACGAAAGGCAGGGCTCTCCACGAAGGACAAATGCAGCTGTGGTAAGCCGGAGCCTAACACGGAAACAATTTTTATGAAAGTCCAAAACCTCTCCTTGACCTTGAAAAACAGCTTTTGAAATTTGTAAATTTAATTTATTCTAATGGTGTAACCTGAACTTTGTAGTGCTTTCATTGGTTTTTTTGTATGTAGATTTACAAAAGAGTAATAGAATTACTTATGCTCGTTATAAAGTATCTAAATACATATATTGAAACTCAGATATAATGTGACAAATACTGTGGATTTGGGAGGGACTGCATCCCGCTAATGCTAAGAAATAACCAGAAAAACTTTTTTGACAAATTTAGTTAGTTATTATCTTTCATGAAAATTTTAGTAGGCACCTAAAAAATGGATATTAGTGGGCTTTCAAAAAAGAGGAGCATAAATGTACGGCATTTTATATGGCATAAATGTATGGCAGAAATGTATGTTTCCTGTGGTCAGATAAGGAAAAAAAGAAAGAAATAGTTTAATTACTTTCCTAATTTATAAAACTCACTTTACTCCCAATCACATACTCATATAAATCATAGAAATTTTTTTGTGTGTGTGTGTCCCAAAACTAGGTACAGAAGAGGACAGAATTCCTATCTATGGTATTCATAGATGCCTGGCAATGGCAAGTGCCCTTGCAGCAGGTGAAATTTCTGATCATTTTACCTACACAGAGTTTGATCCTGAGACACAACCGAAACAGGCAGACAGGACAAAATTAAACAGCCAGGCACACAGGGATGAGACTACTCTGCACCAGGCAGAGAAGCACCCAAAGTCCTAGGTATACCTGGAATTTTTCTGTAGTTAGCAAATCCAACTTGGGTTACAGTTTTAATACCAGCGTTGTGCCACAAAGTACTGTGACTGCAGAAGAATCCCCCTTTATGGCACTGGACTCAAGGAGAAAACAATAAATATAAATGGGATTACAGTCTCAAGAAATCTAACCAGCATCATTCAGGGCTCTTGCACAGATCTTGTGAGATCAGCTAGAACAAGCCCTCTCCTTGAAGCACTGAAATGAGCATTTAGGATAAGAGATCTCTTGCCACTACTGAAAGCTTACTGGTCATTCCTATAAGCCCAGATACTCATGTAAACACAGATACTGAGGAAGACTGCAAGTGGATGATGTAGGTCATAAAAATCCTACTACTAACTAAAATGAACAGAAGAACAATGAAAAAATTATCAGCCACTGGGTATTGAAATAGGCCTCTCAAAGTTTTTCAAACCGTTCAGTAATGCAGTAGGAAAAGAACTGAGCTTAATCAGAGCTGAGACTCGTTCCACAATTTTGATGCTAGGCATTTGATTATTCAGAGGAGCGTCCATTTGCCATAAGAACTTAGATGGAAGGAGTATTTAGGCATCCAAGACTAGAATTTAACACTGACAATACTCATATAGTATTTTCATGCTAAACTGTCAGCAAATTATTGCACTGGAAGTTGTGAGTTGTGTTTAATGAGATTTTATTTTTTCTTTTATCTATAGCAGTTCTTTGTCTATTTCTTAGTTAGATATCAACTCATTACACCTAAATCATCACATGCCTTTCAACTTTTAATACCTTTATTTCCTCTCGTTGCATTTCCTATTCAACTTTCATTATCTTGAGAGGGAATCATCCAGTTACACACAGCATGAGATCCTATCTCTCCTGCTGCTAGATGGATGTACTGCAGTTCAGGAATGCACATGACGATTTATTGTGCTCTAGCAGCAGTGTTCGGGAAGTTTCCCTGCTTTTATTCAACAGATTTTAGCTTTTAGCTGTAGTATGAAGTAGGATGTAGTACGGAATTTAAACTTAGTGTGATAGGTGCCTAAGATCCTCTTGTAGTTAATGTATTTAATACAGTCATGGAATCATAGGAGTGATTCAGCAGACCAACCAGAGAGATATACAGTGTCATTTGTTCCAGATAAGGCACCTTGGACTGGAAAGTGCAGGTGAGGCAGAAGGGAACAGATGTCCCGGCGGACAGATCTGCCAGACCCGTGTGGCTATCTTGGATAGCCTGTGGCAACTCAAATGACATTTAGGTTTAGACCCCGCAACACAACTATTGAGTGACCCAAATAGGTTTTGATATCCATTGACTACATCTTCATTGTCATAACCGGAGTTTAGATATCATATCGATGTGCCTATATGCAGACATCTTCATTTCAAACCAAATCTTAGTTACTTTTCCTAATCCTTATATTTAGTAATAACAGCCATTTTAACTCCTGATATACCTTTACTTTTTTTTTTTTTTTTTCATTTTGGGGTAAAGGAGCAGTTTTTGATTAAGTTTTGATTATTTTTTATTTTTGTGTTATCGGAGCTGCACTTTGAGAAAGACGTTGTAAAGACTTCATCAAGAAACAAGGAAAGTCCTGATACCAACGCTCGTACTCTGGAGAAACTATGATCATCAGGCCTTTTGCTTTATCCTGACTATAACCCTAACAACAAAGAGCTACAGGAAAATGCATATCTTGTCTGTTTACAGCTAGCAATAAAGCAGGGTGATGATACTGATTTGCTCCCTTGAGCAAAAATTATGGGACTTCCCATTAGTGCAAGAAACAGCAGGCCTGCATAACGTTGAGCCCACCCTGAGAGCTCTGTGAAAACCCAAGAATCAAACATGCGCCCTGCACACAAGAAAGCTGAAGGGCTCAAGAATGTGAACTGCTGGGATATGTGAAACGTATTCTCAAACACACCAGTACCACACGCAATCACCTATGAACAATAAAAGCCCTATACAATTGTTTGCATAGCTGTTTACAAGGACGTAACACTTGAGCCTGTAACTATTTGGGCAGGAGATACTCAAGACTGTCAAGACTGGAAAGCCTTACATTAGCTTTGCACGGTGGAGAGCTCTAACACATTTATGTGAAATTTTTGCTACAATGGAGATGACAAGCTCTTTATGAGAAGGCTGCATCAGTGCAACGGGGACATTGCTCACTTTCACTCTTCTGGAAGGTGGAAGAAACTGTAAAGGCATTCCACTGGAGGTACTAGTCTTGGCAAGGCATGAGGAAAAGGCCTGAATGGATACAAAGCAAAATGATGCATGGAAGTGTTGCAAAAGTACCAGAGTGCCGTAAGAAAGAAATAACTCCCTTTCACTACGGTGGTTGGTCAGTCTTAACACCATATGAAAATATATGTTCTGAAGATCAAGATTAAGGACAGTACTGCGGATGTTATTTCATATAATAAACGTTAGCCACCAGTCCTAAAGGCATGGTGGCTAACGTTTAATTTTAACACTCAAGTTGAATGAAAAAATTCAAACCCTGAATGGAGACAGAAAATATAACAGATGTCATGAACTTGACAAACCCAAAGCGTCATCTGAGGATACATCTCGAGTCAGTCAAAATCACACGAACAATGACTCCTCATGTGATACAGAGCACAAAAGATGCCGTGCATCAAGGATGAAAATAAAACCACCGTCTACCATAGACGATGTTCAAAATACCTTGCAGAATAGTTGCATGCGTGATTCTGAGAGTGGAAAGCTAAAAGTGAGCATGTGCCGACTGTAATATAAGCATCAGGCCTACATTCAAGAGCAAAGCTCTAGAAAAATTAACTGATAACCTATTTTGCTTTCACAGCACACAATTTATGGCTGAACACAACGGTCTGTAAAAATTGTTTGTCCTTGCCTAATTCTGTAAAATCAAAAGAAGGAAGGGAAAAAGTACCACAAACAGCAGAAAGTGAAAAATTTGAAGTATTGAAAAAGTATTTGAAAAATTTGAGTATTTCAATGTTATTTATTTAGTAAAGTTGTTTAGAACAAATAGCTCTTTTTCTCTGATAGAAACCATGTGAAAGTTGCTACACTAGTAAAAATTTCCAGTAATGTGATAGTAACTCAAATGGCCACTTGAAGAAATAAAAACAAACCTTCTGATTTTCTTCTATTTCAATTCGCATTTTCTTGTCTACAGCCACTCTAGTCAGTGATCTGTAAAAATAAAATATTGGTATCACTCAACCACTGTTTTTTTTTTAAATGCATTAAATAATGTGAAATATGTATTTTAATACCATATCTGATGCAGTGTAATTGAAGAATGCTGTAATTAAGACTTAAAGAGTAATGCAGTACATAAATATTTTATTTTCAAAACAAATGTTTTGTTCTGTGTTACTCTAATAAACCCAGGTTTCAAATTTATGCTAGGTTTTGGTGAAGTAATATTATCAGCATAATTTTACCACTCTCAATCTTTCCTCTTGTTTTTTCAGGAAAGTAGCATGTGTATTACAGAAAAGTTGCTTGATCATCTAAATTATTACCTAAATAAATGCCATATTTGTATATTTTAAGTTAATGGTACTAACTGCATGCTACTTGACCTTACAGCACAGGTGGCCATGGATACAACTCGATGTTTTGGCCAAAGGCAAGGAAAATATGCAAAGAATGACCATTTTAAAATTAGTTGAGATTAGAAAAGAGATTTATAGATTGAGATCTTTGAAAATGTTAAGTATTCACAGGCAATAAAAATTTTGGTTTCCTTAGTCATTCTACTTTTAGAAGATAATCCATTGATTTGTCTTTTTTACCTTTCAAGAACATTGTGGAAGACTGTTTTAACTTTCTCTGCCACAATGTATTGTATGTGAGGTTTGTAATTACTAGGCTATCATAAAATACTCACAGAGCAAAATTAATCTCTCCATGTTTTAAGAAACCCTAAACCATATTAACCTAAATCTGATTCTCCTAATAAATGTCAAAATACTCCAGTTGCCTCTGTAAACATTTAGCAAATCTGTATGGGGCTTTAAGAAAAACTGGAGTCATCTTAAACCTGGAATTTAACTAAACAGGTTGAGCATGATCCTACTAAGCCAACTTCAATACTTATGGATAATAATGCAGTTATTTAATAATATAAATCCCCATCTCCCCCCAAAAAGAAACTGATTCAGAATAGACCTTGCTAGTAAACTCCACATTTTTCACAGTATGTCAGAAATAAGACATATAATCAGTTTACTTTAAACAAATATTCAAGCTTTCCAGACAATCAAAGAGACTACTTGTTAAGTGCAAACAGTAAGATTTCCAAGCTTTGTTTATAAATATTATACAATTCATCACCGCTAAATACCCTTTTCCCATTCATCCCCTCTAAATATTCCGGCAGATTATTTTTGTCGCTCTGAACCCCTTCTGGACCACGTGATGAAAGGGCAATAGAGGATCAAGGAGGAGCTGTATTTATACCAACCCATACTCGGTGGGCTTTCCTTGGCTCAAAATGAGAAAGGCGTAACTCAAACTGTGAGGTCAAAGAGAGCACTAAAACACGGTCAACGTGGTTCAAATATATTATTATCAGTAGTCATTGGAGGACAAGCTAATAACATGCTTATTATTGTGCAACTAATCTAAACTCTTTCTCATGAAGCCTTCATAATCATACTGCTAGGTACTCTCTATGCACATAAAGAATGTAGTGAGTGTATTCAATACTGAGTAAATATATATTTTACTGTACTACTTTCTGCGTTCACTTTTTTTGAAATAAAACTTGTAGACTAGAAAGCAAGAAACTATAAACATTTCTGTTGAAATGTTGAAAAAGAAACATTGCTGATTAAGATTTTTTAAAAATATTGAAAGAAACTGTAAGTAAAAAGGAAAGAATACCTGAAGCCAAATTTAAATTTTGAGAAATGGAGGAGAAGGATTAGGAAAAAACACTATCAAGTCAGAAGTCTCAAAAGCTGACTATATAGGACACTGCTTTAAGGGACCTCCTTAGCAACAGACACAATTCAGGAACACTACAGAACTCTTCTCATTAAAAGAACATCTGTAATTGATGCAAATTATTACTGAGAATTTACTTAACCAATGAGCAAACTAGCTACTTAACAGAACGACACCATAGCAAGGTGGAAATTTAATGTGTGGCAGTACTACCACAACTATTATTTTGACTTCAGAGCAGTAGTTTTAGAGAGCCCTGAACTAAAAAATACTTTAGGGGGAAAAAACCTCCGATTTTTATCTTGCTAAACTCAACTTAAATAGTAGTAGGGCCTGCAACTCTCAGAGTCAATGTTTCATTCTGCATACACAGGTGATAAAAACTGCACAGATAAAAAAGAATAACCTAAATCTTTCCAAATAGCTTAGAGTAGTAAGGCAGAAATGTAAAAAATGAATGTAAAAATAATAAAAAGGCAGAAAAAAAAGAAGACAAAGCTGGCCAACATTAGCAAGGAAGTAAAATACTTATCAGCAAAAGGTAAGCTTTACTGTTAGCTATTTTAAAAATAAGAGAACAATACATAAAAGACTCATTACGTAGTGCCTTGTCTATGCACGGCATTTGATGATGCAGGATTTTAGCAAGATTTTAAGGAGAAAATGTGATGGCCGATCCTTGAGAAGGACGCCCTAGGAATTTGAGGTAACAATTGTAAAAGTACCTGTGAAAGATGTCTGTTCATTTTGGGTTCAGTCATTTGTTCAATTTGTTCACAGCTTCACAAAGTTTTATGCATGTTTTTCTAAATATGAAGTGCTAAGGACTCAAAGAGAAACACTTTACTGTCTGAATCTGGAAGTAGATGGATACTAGTTATCGTTCTACATGATGTAGGAATGTGCTTGTATGACCTTAAGGTTGTAATATCTTCTATCATATAATCTCATGCACCTTTATTCTTACGTGGAAGAACATGTAGCTATGTAGTACTGCATATCAAGTGAAAAAAGGAAGCTTTTCACATGTTCATAATGTTAATATTCATGAACTATAAGTGAATAGCAAGAAACAGAGTATTATAATTCTTATTATTGCATTCTTAAACAACAGATAATTATGACACATATACAACAAAACAGAGATGAAAAATACCCTGTAAAATCAATGATCAAAATGTCGCCATGACATATATCAGTTGTTACACTGTCTACATCTGACGACATTTTGTAAAATCTACCTCAGACTAACCTTTTCAAATGGAAAATGCAGGTTATAAACTAGAAAGTGGAAGAAACTTCCAGAGGAATGGTATATTCATTTTTAATGGTCTAAGGAACCCCTTCATTTTTAAGGAATATATAATATTTGGTTTTTATTTTCATAACTACAGTTCTAACATTTTTATACAGCCTTTTCTAACCAAAATTTGCATAATTAAAAAATGGTTGTTTTCATATGTAAATTGTGTGAAATTTAAACAATTTTAAAATACTACTATCATAATGATCAGTTATGTATCTAAAGTGATTAATTAATATCTTTTACTTTCCTGTTTATTCTAGGGTGGTTTTTTTCCAAACCAGTATTTTTAACTCAGCAGGTTAAGTATGATTAGATTATTAAGGAAATATATTTTGTGCACTGTTTTTACACAATGCCCCTTTGATTTAGGTTTGTTGTCAATGTATACCTACTAACTTTAAAAATTTGTAATCTCTCATGTTAAAAACAACATGCTAGATTAGCATAGCAGAATAAATCATACAGGACAGGAACTGCAATTCCCCTTTTAATAACTCCAAAGTCTTCTTATACGTTTACCCATAAAAATAAAATGTTTGAAGAATAGGTAAGTTGTGCTCTAGTACCACAAATACACGGCCGGGAGTCAGAGTGGGATGTAACTAATGACTTTTTAAATCAATGACTTAAATGTCACCTAGCATACTTCAACATTTTCCTGTCCTTTAAAGAACAGAACTGGTCTTGCAGTTCAACATTATGTATGTTTCCACCGTCTTCTAATGGAGAGCTGCATTTTCTGATTGCTAATCTAAGTGTAAACTTGTACCTTACTATTTCATAATTATGTTTCAGGCATTTAAAAAGTTACTTTTCTTCCTTGAAAGAAGATGTTACAAAGGTATTTTTTCAATTACAGTGTAGATTTGCTCTAACAGCAAATCAGAGATGACAATAAAACACTGTGATAATTAAGCAAGAGTTGTAAAACGTGAAAGCACACTGAGTTAAGAATCCTGTTCAGCATCATACTTAATTCAGTAATTCAAGCAAATATTGCTGATAGGATTACATGAAGAACATATTAAATATAAAGAAAAGCATTTCTCAATTACAATACAGTTGGCTTACTGGAAGAGCAAGTTTTAATATCAGCACAGATGAAAATGTTATTCATTTATTTAATATTTATCTTGATCTTATATTAAGTAACGTGTTATGAGAGACAGATGTCCCCCAGTAAGAACACTAACATACAGTAGCCTGGGCCCAATCTTGTCAGCAATGTTTTGCTTAGAACTAATGTGGGTGGATCCCCTACAAAATTTATTAATAGAATTTTGCCTCTTCCTACTGTGAGTAGATCTGCTATTAATTCAACAGAATTTTCCACCTGGGAAAATATCATTCCAGTAAAAGCTGGGAGGAGTAGGTATTCAACCATAAGTGCCTGAAGGATTAGAACGCCTTCACGGCATCTCCTGCATCAGACAGGAAACATTTAAGAGACCAATCAAGAGCTCTCCCAGGAGTTATTTTCTACTCAATGAAATTGCCTGGAATCCATCTAGCAAGCTGTAAAACATGAATATTTGACTGCAGGATTTGTATATAAATCTGTATTACTGTCATTAAATTCAAATGCAAACATAAAAACAGTATTTGAAAAACAAGTTTAAGTATCATACCTGGCTCTTATTGGGAAGTTCTGAGCTATGTCTTTCATTACCTTTAAGGCATCATAAACAGGAGTAGACATAATTCGAGCAGCTGCTTGAAAACTAAGATCTGGGGAGAAAAAAAAATGAAATCACTGAAAATATCACTCTCAATACTGCCTACAATCAGAAAACTGTTCCATATACACACTCTCACTATTAACATTTTTTATGTTTCAATTATACATCGTAAAAGATCATGAAGTAACATTATCAAGGTTGAAAAGACAGGCATTTAAAAGTTGGAAATACCAAATTCAGGCATTCCTACTGAAATTTTCCTACAGAAAAATTAATTTCCTACAGAATTCTGCTCAGCCATCTTGAGCATACACATTGTACATGCAAGTTCTACGTTTACAAAAACACTGAAAAAACCAGACAATTAATCATGTCGTATTATGCCAGTATCACAAGGGTATCATGCTCAAACCTAGATACACACCAACCCACAATCACCCATAATTGCAGTAAAGAATAAGATCTTTCCAGCTCCAGGACTTCACAAGATTTTCAGAGAACAGATATATTAAATGTAGAAGGCTGCATTGAGCATGTGAGGTGTACAATTTTCAAGAGTAGCAGCAATTTCGCAGGAAGAGAAAATGGAGACTCATGAAAGAAAGGCCAAATTTCAGTTCTCCTAAGTGTCTAGCACAACCTTTAAAGGGATCTAATTTTTCCCTCTATGCTTTTTCTCAAAATGAAGTAAATTCTCATATATCAGGACAGTTTATAATTCATTTGCCTATCCACTGGAAGAACAATGATGGAATTCAGTTAGCCTTCTCTGGTGCCTAACTTGGGCATGACAAATCTTGGCACATGAGACTGGGAAAAATCTAATTTTGGTATCAACAGGGTAAGGCAGTGATAGAGTAGGTGCTTCCACATACTTTGGATACAGTCTGCCTAACTACCTCAGGGCAATGATGCTTTTTCCTCACAATCTGCTAGTTAAGACATTTGACTGAAGGCCTCAGGTTATTCAGTTTCAGGAAAGCTGATGCCACGTATAGTAAAAAGTGCTGTGCAGAAAGTCATAGAGGATGCTGCCTAGTAGAATATTTCACCATCTTTTTGAACCAATTAGGTTAAAAAAAAAGGCTGAAGAAAAGTGAATAGCACATGTTCCTAGTTTAGCCTGATAAGGTACACTTTGGGTGCAAAAAAAGATGAGTCTGAGGTGGAATGTTAACTTGGTATTTCTTAATACTTTAAACAAAAAGTATAAATAAATAGATCACTGTTTTCAAAAAGAACATTTCAGATCCCTTTCAACAGTCAAATAAGCTGTGATCAGGTGAAGCAATACCCAATTGCTGCTGTTGACTACAGATAGTTGATGCCTTACCTGCTGTGCACTTAGGACGCACACTTAAAATGCTTCATAAATCGTTGATAATTTCCATTTTATGCTGAACAGCTACAGTATGAATATTCAAATCTCACTGAGGCAAACTGACATATCTTTTTATCTTCTTGGTTATCTCTAGTCAGGGACTGTCACTTACAGACCTCCCCTTGTGGCACCCTAACACAGCTGAGAAAGCAGTGTAGGGCACCTTGGGGAACAGATGATCCTAAGCAGATCTCAAAGTATGCTTTGAAAGCTAAAGAAGTACTAGAGATCAAGAGGCTGTTCACACAGATAAAAAGAGTTATTAAAGGGAATACCACATTGGTACTCTGTGCATCATTTTTCACTATGAATAGTAAACCTAATCACTTATCTAAAACATAAAGGCTCTTGAAAGACAACTCTTGCATGGTGGTTAGGGTCATTTATAAATAGAAGTATGCCCTATTGCTGAAGGAGTTTTGGTTAAATTTAGTTAGATTTTTACTTGGAAGCTAATTAAAGAAAATCAAATAGTAGCTGAGCCGTTAACTCAGCCACTATAATTAGTCATTAAGAGCAAACTAGAGAAAGCACCCATTCATGTCAGGAGTAGGAGTATCAAAACAACTGCACCATACAAAGAGGGGGCTGAAGACCCCCTGTCTGAAAAAGCCCTGAATGTACTTACCACAAGCCAGTACCAGCCTTCCTGGCGCTGAACAAACAGCATCCCAATGCTTAACTGCTTTCAACACTGTATGAACTGGTTGCTTGGGGAGCAGCAGCAATTTCATTTTTTATTTATATAGACATGACACTGCAGAAAAGACCACCACTAAACAGAGACCTTGTACTGGCTTTTGAAGGTAGACACTAAAGCGTGGTTGCTTCTGCTTGAACATCAACAGAGTGGTATTCAATCACGTAAAAAAAAAAAAATTAAATAGACAAAAAGAGAATTTTCTTTTTATTTGCACAGTAGATTTCTCAGGAGAATAAAAATGCAATGTTTTCCAATTTTTTTTAAATTTTGGACTGAGATCAATCCTGCAGCTGAAGGGGAGTTCATTGTTACAAGACTGCAGGTGAAATACAGTTATCTCAAATAGCTAGATTGAGACTGGGTACTGCTAGCAAGCTCCATAACAGTTAGGGTCCCAAAAAGAAACTGAAGTTCAGATGATTGTTCATTCTCCTTCACTGCACTAGTACAAAGGCAAATCAGTTTTGGTGAGGTTGCCCTCTAAAACTGAAGAATGTAACAGGCAAAATTAAGTTGCCTAAAACTTAAGTGTTATAACATTTTAGGGACCTATTTTAGAGAGATTTATAATTCCATTCAAGCTACAGAATGTCCTGCAGGTCATCACCACAAAAGCTGTATAGAAATCAGCTTCTACATATTTGTTCTCCTTTTCCACAGGAAAGCTTTTAAAAGCATGTTCTTCCATTTGACATTATATTAAAAAAAAGTATCACTGTGAACTCCAATACACTGATAAAAGTTAGAATTTATAAATTAAAGAAAACAAACTGTCTTAACCTGTATTTCATCCTGACTCAATAGTCATGTCAAAATGATATTTTTTGCCTGACCTCTCAACAAAAATCTGAAATTGAATTTAAAGTCTGAGATAACATATCAGGCAGAAAACCAGGCAATAAAATTTCTCTCTTTAAAATCAGTAAAGCTAGTTATGACTCTTCCTCTCATAAAATTACTTCAATGCTCCTTTAATTTTTAGCATATAATACTAGGGCAAGATACCGACATAGTCTTTTTAAATACTTGATATAATACTGCCTTTTTATGAAACCATATACATCTTTTTAAACGAAGATTTTTTCGTAATGTTGATACATCAACATAACAAAGGAAAATTAGAGAGAGTACTGTGTTAATTCAGACAAATGCAATACATACCCTGTAGCTCCCAAACTTTCAGCGGTTCCATGTTGTTAGTAGTTTCAATTAGATGTTTTTTAAACTCTTTCAGATTATTTTTTAGATCAGGATGCATCTGTCTACAATGAAACATTTTTTTAAAAAAAGGCAAAATCAATGACATCCATCAATGTCTGCTTTTATCCACAGCATTGCTCACAACTAATACTGTATCTTTAGGGTAACAAGCAAGAATTAAAATTTCAATTAATTCTTAAAACAAAAATGAGGATTTGGGGTGAGAAGAGGTGATTTCTGAGGACTAAAAGCCAGCTAATTACAAGAAGGAGTTCAACTGATTTGTAATGATCTATCTCAAACTCTGTTTTGATGGAATAAATGAACTCAAAGATTAAACAGTATTAATACACAATACAAGCAATTGTATAGTTTACTATAGCATAATGTACACCTAACCGTATACTAACTGTACTACAGATTAACTGTAACTGTACACAGAGTTTGTTGTATTACCTACAAAAGATATAGGCAAGACAATGTTGAGAACATCTTTTATGAATTAATAACACTGACAAAATCAAGCTACTGAGCACATAAATCACTAGTCAGACCTGAAGAAGAGCATGGTGCCCAAAAGCTTATCTGTTTTTTTGGAAAACATAATTAGGCAACAAAGTTTTGAGGGCAAAGACGTCAGCTTGCTACAAGACACCCTCGAACATCAAACAATCTCTGTTAGATTTCTAAAGATTCTTCTACTAGAAATATTGAACAAGAAGCAAAAAGTAGGTAAAAAACCAGACATCTAAAGCATTAAGACTTTAACTTCCGTAATATTTCACATTTTATGTTAGATATTAAGAAGTTTCACAAGGAATCCACCCTCCTCAATTTTAGCTGTTGGATGATATTAACCATTGTTCTTTACAGAAAAAAGAAAATATCACTGATGAAGACTGTTATTCTAGAATTAAAATATAGTCCAGATTCCTCAGAGAAAGTATACTTAACTGAAAAGGGAAGCAAAGACAGAAAATTCCTTTTTTTCTTACTGGTAACATAGGCAAACATAGTTCATACGCTTAGAAATGCCTCTATGAAGTGGCAAACTCTTAACTAGTTTTGAGCTCTTTAATTACTGCTTTTACTGCTGCCTTTGCAAATTTACCTTGATGATATATTTTGTTTTCTGTTCAGACCTTCACTTCTGTGAATGAAAGACAACTGACAAATAAGACCTAGCCACAAGCCACAACCAAGATCTGTCATTGATGCTTGGTCCCTCATTTCTCTTGTTCACTTATGCTATGGTCAATGTAGGCACAAAATCAAACACACATAAAGCCAACTGAAAAAAGCTACCTTTCTCTGAATATGTATCATGATATGGATTGAATTATGTTAATTTGCACAATCAAATCATTATATTTGAAAGATTTTATGTCTTCTGCTTACATTCATAACTATTTCACAGCTGAGAAAAGTATAACCTTTGACATGGCTATAACTGAGGGACAATTTACAGACTACTGAAACATGTCTCATTTCCAATATGAAAAGGAGAAGAAAAAAATACGAGCCTAGAAACAATGTCAAAAAGTTTGAGTAGTTACCTGACAGCTTCACAAATTAGTCACAGTGCAACATCAAGCACCTAAGTATAGCTAAACCTAGCACAATCCAAGAAGAAAAAAAGCTCAGATAAAGATATGACATAAGCATTTGATATTACTTGCTGTGGAAGGTCTCTAATACATAGGGGAAACAACAAGAAAGCCTGCAGATGTGGGTGCACTTCTATCTCAATATGTTTACTTTAAAAAAGCTAGAAAGGGGATGGGCTCTCAAGACTTCAGACAGCATTAGCAGCTCTGAACTCTGAGAAGATTTACAGCTTGGTGACAATATCTACAAACACTTTTTACTTTAAATAATAATAGAGAGAATGACACTAGAGAAGACCCACACTCTTGAGTTTCTTGTTAAAAAAACCCCTGGATTTATGATTCACTGCATGGAACTGTTACAGGAAAAGGGAAGCATTTCTGATGACTGCCACCACAAAATGAATCCATCACTGGAGGACTGGAAGGAGCCCTCGATAGGGTAGCATACAATTTCATCTAACAGATTGTAACTTGGAGCTAAAAGAGTTCCTGCTAGAACAGAACACAAACTCACAAGCTCCAAAACAAGAAGACATCTATAATAAGCATATCTTCCAAGAAATACTACTCCTTAACTCTAAGAAATGAATGACTATCCATCTTAAAAACACCTTATGTAGCTACAACACATGGGTTTGGATTTGTTATGCTACCTCTTGCATTTTGAAAACTACCATTTTGATTATCTGAAAACAGAAGTAGCAGCAACAATTTACTGTAGATACAAACATGAAAACATGGTGTTCTAAGATTTTGTGACTGTTGCCCAGAGGGATATTTTTTTACTTTAAAAACAGTTTACTGTATACATTCTAAGAGAATTAGAAAACTAAAAGCAATAAATTGAAATTGAGAGAATAAACAACTGTTGCATCTTTAGGTTAACAAGACATACACAAAAAAGTTAATCAGAATTTTCACCAGTGGCAAATAATTTCCAACATAAATCTCACTTCCTTCACTTCAAATCTATATTTTTTTAAAAATTTTTGGTACAGGTTCCAGAAGTTTAATTATAACTTATATCAACGCACCTTAATTTGCCAAAGAGAAATCCCTGGACATCATTTTCTTCCTCCTCATCTTCCTCTTCTTTTGTCTCATTTGCTCCTGAACACATACCACATGTAGACAATATAAATCAAGAACGTTACTAATGTATTAAGTTCTTATGAATAATAAAACAGTTAACACAAGCATAAAATCAGAAAGTTGTCATTCACAGATGTAATTTCAATTAGATTTATACTTATGCATTCATATTTTGTCATCAGAATGAATCACTTTACAGAACTTAGCAACATTCAAATTTATTTTTAAATATAATTGATCCAATGGTTACATTTTTTATGTAAATTAAATTGATATGGTTAAATAGTTCATGTCCCAAAATAGCCATTTCTCAGTTTGATTAAGTGGTGAGGTATAACTCCTATCAGCCAACTATTACCAAATTTATGCTTGAAAAGTATGATGACTTTAAAGTGCTTGAATCTCCAGCTAGCATTTGGTGCAAGTCAGAGATCAGATTCTTTCCCTTAAAAAAAATTAAACTATTTTTGACATGACTCAAAGGCTAGTAAACCTTAGTCTTACCAAAGAGAGTTAACTAACTTTCATAATAACTTGTAAATGTCCACACAAAGTAATTTCTCTGTGTCAGAATGCTATAGCTACCACTTTCTGTGGCAAATGTCTCATTTCAACATGTAGTAACATACACTGGTGCCAAATTTTATGATACAGCACATCTTTCCTACAGAAGATTGTGAAAGTATTTCCACATAAATCCAGAAAAAAACCCTCACCCCTGAAACACTAATGTGATACTGTAGTAATTAGCATATTACAGATGCCAACAAGCATAAAGTAATTGAAGAACAAAAGTTAAACAATCTTATACTTATTGAAAGGAAGACGAATGGGTTATGTTTTGAAGAGCCACAGAAAACAACAAATTGGAGGTTAGGTAATGAACTATATCCTGAGCACAGCTGTTTAAAAATGCTCACATATATTTTAATGTCTTAGTTCCTAATGCCTGAAACTTCCTTCTGTAAAAAGAAACTACGTATAACCTTCAAATCATTACTAACTTTATAACTGAAGATTATAACTTATTTCAATAGTATCTCAAATCAGATGCCATAAATAAAAAAAACGACATACCTTTAACCTGTGTGTCATCTACTGCTTTATATTCTGTGCTCTTTATTGCAAGTTCTACACCATACCCAGATAAATACATTTTTCTGGAACTTGGTTTCTGTTTGATGATATTATTTTAACAGAACAAAAAGTATAACTTAAAAAACTGTATTTGTAGGTGATTAACAATATCTAATACTGTAACTTTAAAATGTTATGACAGTCATAACTTAAATTCATCTTTCACTTTGTGATTTAAAGTACAAAATGCTACACCAAACAAATTACAAGAGTCATGTAAGGCATAGTGACAGTCCCTTGAGAAGGTGTGTAACAGAAAGTAAGGACTTCCTTTACCTCCTGCAGACCACAGAAAGGCTGTGTTGAAATCTTAGTCCCTTCACATAACATTAGAAGCAGGATTAGAACAGGCAGAGCTGGTAGCACCCTGTACAGTTATTGATGCCTTACAATTCACATTATAAACATTTACTCATTTCTTTGTAATTTTGACAGCCTTTCAGCATGTTAGGAGGAAATTCTCTATTTCTGCATCAGACTGATTCTTTAAAAAAGTTTTTACAAAAGAGTTAATCACTTTCTGCAGGGAGAATTAAGAAAATGTATTAAAGTACCACTGCTAAAAACAGGTTCCCACTTTTGAAAACAAACAACAAGTATTCCTAACTTTGGAGCAGAAGTTTGACATTCAATAGTCTAATTACTCGGAGCATACTTATTTCTGAAAATTTGCCCTAGTTTGCCCAAAATGTATGAAAATCCCCTTTCCAAAATGCAATTTGCACATACACAGCAGCAATTTCTTGAAAGCCTTTCAGTTTTAGCTTGCAATTTCTAAGAATCATTCTGTTTTGAGAATCCTCCAGCCCACAACAGAAAACCCAGCAGGGCTGGGGTTTTTCTCTGTTGGTCTTCTAAGCAAATCTCAATGCAGAGAGAACAGCACTCTATGAGCAGTCTCGGTGATACTGGCAAAAAAAGATGAGAGCATAAAGACTGTACCTCTTCTGCTCTCAATGCTCCCTCTTCTGGCATTTAATGTAAAAAAGGAGGGAGAATCCGTCTCAGTAGGAACAAAAGAATAAAAATGGAGGTTGTGAGGAAGGAAGAAAAGGGAAGAGCAGTCTGAAGAGACAAGAAGCACAGGAAGACAACACGCATTTGGGGGGACCATGGTGCATAAAACTGGTCAGAGCAAGGAGACTGTAGGCATTTATTTGAAATAAAAGTGCATAAAAGAACATAAAGTTCAGTAAAAACTACACCCCACACAACTTAGAATTTAAGACTGGTTTCCTCAAATTCTCTATTTCATTACTGTGAGCAAACAACTCAAAGTCATCCGCAAACTATGGATCTCATCTCCCTGAAATGCCTGGTCTGCATATATCACAGCAACCTCTCCATCAGATTATACTTGTATTAGCCACACTATTTAAGAGCTGTACTGTGAATATAAATTATCAAAAACCTTCCAATAACCAAAAGTGGGAACAGTATAGTTCCATGTACTGGTATTTGTGTTGTTTTGTTTCAGGGAGAAAAGTAAGTCAAGAAAAGCATTCAGAAACATGTTTAAAATACCAACACTGTGGACGCAAGTGTCGAAAAACTGGTCAATAATGTTGACTGGAATAACCCATGCTGTTGTACTACAATGAACCTATGAGATTATACTGAGAATATATACAATTATACTTATTTTTCAGCTTGATTTTCTATTCTACTTCCAATTTTTCTAATTTTTGTTACTAATATGTTCAGCCTGCTGCACCAATATTCACTCAAGATCTTCGTACAACATACAAAATCCAGACATATAACCAAAAAAAGAGATATTTCAAGGTCAGTGATGCAAACAGTGCTTGCATGCAGTATTAGATTATATTGTCATGCTTTCCCAGCTTCAAAGTTTGTATTAGGTTAATCACTTCACCTAGAAAAGTTTTAAAATTGGAATATATACTGCACATGATTTAGGCAAATGCAGAAATAAATGTAGAAAATGTGTTTTGTCAAAAAGCAAGCAAAATAAAGACAGGATACTAACAGTTTACTGCATCAATGTTAATTTGAATTGCATACCTGAACATAATGCCGGAGAACATAAACAATTTCTTCCTTTTGTGCTTTCTCAGATAAAATCTTGTGGAATTTGACGAAGTCTTTCGTACCCATTTCTGCATAAAGAACAACCACTGGGCCATCCTCTTTGAGAGCTGGGAATTTGTGATCTCCCTTAAGAAGATATGGCCTAGGTCTGGTTTTAAAAACAAATAACAGTGATACTACGTATTCAGAAAAGAAATTAAAACAGTGTCAGTTTTTCTACTTCATAATTGAAAAAAACTAGTAAGGGCTGATATGCTAAAAGTATACGAGCCATGTCAAAATCATCACAAAATAATCGTGATTGCTCACAAATGAACTCTGAATAAAATATTTTCAAATTAAAGCCTAAGAAACTGAAAAATCATCAACTATAAATAATTTTAATATATTTTATCAAATCACAACACAAAGCAAATGAAAACCATAGCACAGAGATTTTGTGCAACAACCAGTTACAGCTTGAAGCTTTTAATTTAAATGATGCATTACATCTATTAGAGATATACAGAGCAATCAGTGAGTAACAGAGTAGCAGAGAGATATTCAGCAAAGTTTGAGACAGCTGCTAACAGACATGGAAAGTAACTGGGGTTATACTTCTTCAACACCATCCAGCCCTGTTAATTTAGCTAATTTTGCAAATTTTGACTGCCTCCTCATTGAAAGCCATGACTAGAAAAGTTACACTTTCTATACCTACAATGATTTCTTAGATGACTGCAAACATCTTTTGAATAAAACCTGGGAAAGATGGAAAGTAGCAGAGGATATGATTAACTAACAGACTCATGGTGCTAACTGTTGATGAGCACACTTCTTTTTCAAAGTTGCCTTTGCATAGTCACACTTGAAAGACCAGTAAACTCACCCCAAATCTCTCCAAGACAAGTACAGAAACTCTAACCCAACACACACTACAGAAAAGTGTGTAGTAGATGCTCATTGAAAAGCCATACCGGAAAGGTGTGAGCAGAACTCCACATGCGTGGTAGGTATGCAATCAAAGACCACATTTGTAAGGCAGAGACAAAAATGGGGCCTGGTTTGAGAATTAACTTGGGTGCATGCAGCCATGTGTCACAGAAATATCAGACAAGCTTTCCCCCTGTCATCACAGGACACAGCAGACAAAGTAGGTGTCACCAGGGAGTCTGAAACAACTCTTGAATGAGTAAGGTGTGTTCAAGAACAGATCCAGATTTTCCCCAATGAAAGCATACATATGGGATGGGACTTGTGCAACTTCCTTCTCCTATCTAGACAGAGCAAAAAACTGCCACAGTCATTTATAGAGAGCTGAAAACCCACACCAAGGGAGCTTCTCTTTTTTTAACTAGTCACCTAAGTATAGCAGAAGAATGACTCCGCAAAAGGTGGGTACCAAGTGCTGCCATGACTTTCTTGAACACTGACAGTCTCAAAGGAAGCATTTTATACTATAATGAACACGCTTCACTAAAAAATTAAGTGCTGCAGTGAAATAACACTGCATAGGGCTACCATAATGACCTTGGATTGGAGAATTAAAGCATTCAGCCCTTGTAAATCCAATATAAGCCTCTGTTCTCTGTTTCTCTTTGACACTGAATAGTAGTGAGAAGGAATTGATTTGCTCACTCTTAGAGCTGAAAGCTAATTAATTTCCTGCCATAAGAGATTCTCATGAGAAAGCTAGCTGAAAGGGAAGGAACAGCAGTTGGGCAGACAAAAAGATGAAAAAAATACATGGATGTGGAGTTCAGCACTTGGATTCAGTTACTAGGGTAGTACAGACAACTATATACTTGCCTAGATAGTTGCCAAGATGGGGTGCAGAAGGAATGTGATGGACAGATGACAGCAGACATGCATACTGACAAACTTTCTAAGGCACTGATTGTTCTGAGCAAAATGTGACTCACATCAATGCTTCTGTTCTTAGCAGCAATAGCCCCAGAAATCATAGTGTTGTGTTTTGGACAGTTAGCAAGATAAGCAGTCCCAACCATTTAACCACTGAAGATCTTCCTCTGACACATCCAGAACCCCTGAGCAGACCATTGCACCTCCACACAAAGTACTTCCAACTAGAGCCATGCAGTCCATTGCAACATGGCTGAAAATGCAACAGACCAAATCACAGTAGATGCTGCATAAAGGACTAGATGAAGCAAAAGCTTAATTTTGACATGCAGACTTATTTGGGCTCTCCTAAGTCCAAAGTGCCTGAGCCTCCCTAGATCTCAAGATGAGCTGATGTATCTGCACAAAATAATGCTGCAGCCTCTTCTTTCTCTTCCAGTGAGATTGGAAACTATCATTGCTAAAAATAGAACATTTCTAGTGTCCTCATCCAATGTGGGAAACTTTAGGACACAACTGAAAGCCTAGTTTAAGTTGGCCTGGCTTAAGTGGAAGAGTCATGACAGACAGAAGACAGAAAAAGAAAATGAAACACAAAGGAAAACAGCTTGAAATAAAAAAAGAAACAATAAACCAAAAAGATCTCTTTTCATAAAAGCCACAGAGAAAAAGAATGACTGGTTATGGGGAACCAACGGTGAGATGGCACACTGTCCCATGTATCATTTGTTCACCATATAGAAAAGAACGAACAGGAGTACAACCCCATCTATATTACTTATGGTAAACATCTCAGCACAAGTGAAAAGCATCTGCTACCCAGGGTACAACTGGAAATAAATAGTGGAACCAATTACCTGAAGGTAAACATAGTTTTCTCAAAGTCTAGCTCCAGGAACTATAAATATTTGAGTGATGCAACTACTTCTGGGGTGTGGAGAAGGAGAGGAATTTTATCAAGATTTTGTCCCTGCAGCTCTGAAGGTTGTAATGTGACTGGTACACACAAAACTATCCAAAATACAAGAACAATTGAATAGAAACAAATTCAGTTTTGTTGTAAGTTTTTAAAGTTATTGATTTCTGGAAGTCTAAGTCTTTCAATTCTGAATACTTCAGGATTCTATTGTTTATTATTGTGATTTTCCAGAATCGTCTAAATTTGGGGATAGTATCTCCAGAAAGGAAGATGTGCTGAATCCAGTTAACTGCTTTAGAAGAAGAGCATATTCAGACATTGTGATATAATGTTAAGGTCTCATAATGCCTGACTATATGACGAGAAGAATTCAACATAATTTTAAAAGCCAAAATTTAGTACAAATAATTTATGTAAGAAAGACATTTGTTAGGCAGAATGTAATAGTTACAAATGGGACATTGCAAACTAGACAGTGAAGTGTTTTTGCAAAAACCTCGGCTATTCAATAAGTAAAAGACAGGCTGTAAATTTATCAGTGGACTTGGAAAATACCATAAATCACTTGTGTAGAACCCAAAATTGGTTTCAGAAGCAACCATCCCCAAAGAAACAAATTCATAGGTTTTCAGGGTTTTTTTTCCGATTTATATTTGATAGAAAGCAAAATACAAGAAATATGCCCTACTAAATCATCTTTCAGCTTTACATATCTCCATGAAGTGGTTGAGGGTTTGGACACTAATATATATTATTGGTGAACTTGACCATTGCAGGGAAAAAAACCCACAACAATGAAAGATGTTACATACAGGTCTTGAAAAAATACAAATTAATTCTTTTTTTAATGGAGATTAAACATTTTGGTTTCATTATTTTGTTGTTATTATTTTTTATTTTGATAGGGTCTATATTTTACTTCACGGCCCAAATTCATTCTGGACTGATGCTAGTTTCTACATGAATAAGCCTGCAGAAAGTCTTGATAGGAGCAAAGTCTAGCACAAGATGAGGAAAGGTTCTGCCAGCTGAGGTGGATTCCTCTTCCACCCCTGTGCTAAGCCCTTACAATCCAGAAAACCTCAAATGCAGCAGCACTAACTACATAGACAGATCTGTCAGCAGAAATACTGTCTCAGACACATTAAATGGTAAATTTGTATAGAAAGTACACTGTAACTTAAACTTGACTACCCCATACCATACAAAATTATCCATGTGGTTAGCGCAGCAAAGTCCTATGATTTTATTTTAAAACCCTACTTGATGAATTCTCATAACAGTAAGCATTTAAAATATTTCAAAACCAAAAGTAACTCTTTTAAAATAATATATATTTCAGGTGGGTATGTCTTTAAATATCCAGGGATTTATGTGCTTGGCATTATCAAGTAAGTAGAACATAACATTTCAAATACTACAAGTATATATGCAATAATACATTTTCCTCTCTAGTAATCTATTTTTCCTCTTAAACCAGATCATTACATTTACCTCTTAGTAGCCTTCTTCAGCAGCTTTTTTATTTCATTAGTCTTACAGGTGTGTTTCTCATGGATAACCACAAATGCACTGCAGCCTTCTGGTGGAGGTTCATCAGCTGCAATCTAATATTTCAACAATTAACCAGAATGCTTTGATTGCACTTCAACTTAAACTCACATCCCTTTGATTAAAATAACTCAACAGCTGCCATTGAGTTGTGTTTCTAATTAAGCCCATTCAAAATTGGGTACATGTGAAAAAAGTAATGGAAAATATTAGAAGAGTGAGACCTTATAACCTTTGTGAGATGTAGTCTATCAAATGCAGTCATACTCCAGAAAATGCAAGTCCATTTATGTTCCATAAAGACAGGGCTGAGAAATCTCCTCCACAAGCTCAAATCACAGCCTGTACTCCGAGATCTTTTAAATTTTAGTCGCTATCAGCAATCATGTTAATGTAGAAAGATTTGACTGCTAATGAATAAATCACAAATAATTAACATCAATTTTTTGTTCTCTCTCCTTCCCACACCCCCACCTTTTTTTTAAACTCTATTCAACTATTCCCATGTAAAGTGGGAATCATACGACTGTATGTCAATGACTCTGGATTCACAAGCCGAAAGATAAAAATGAAAAGATATGAGTCTGAGATTATGATATTCCTCCAGAGAACACCTGCAAAACCCCCTAACTTTATTACAGCTATTACCTTTCAGAAACATGAATTTCTCACTTTATTTTGAAGGTGGCATTGCTAAAAGGAGGAGGAGCAGTTTTAGGGTAGAGGCACAGTGAATTTATGTTCTCTGACTTTTTCATTAACAAAGCAGGTATTTGACTATTCTATCTTTCAACTTTTCAAATACTAAAATAATGAGAGATGAGAAGTCCACTAAATAACAGATGTAAATTACTTGAAGCTACAGGAAACTTCCAACTTTGGGAATGTCTGAATTACCATAGGATTATTTAAAGCAATGCAAAAAACCACCACAATCTGAGTTTTAAAAATTAACAATTCAAAAAATTCTACCCTGAAAATAATGCTATCCATACAATTAAATATGAATATTTGTTCCTGTCAATATAACCAGCTTATAAAGCGTCACTTTTATAAATGGATCATGTTTGAATCCAAATAATGTCAGCATGTATTTTATTGAACTGTAATAATGAACATTCTTTACTCTGCAGCCAAAATACCACATAAAAACATGTATCAAATATATCAGATAATATAGTCACCTGCTGAAACATCTGAACAGTTGGAGAATATGCTCGTATGGAAAGTGCAAATTTCAATAGATTGATTTGCAAATTGGATAAAAATTGTCCTGCTTTCTTCAAGATTAAATTGTAATAAGAATGCTCTGAATCTGTTGAAGAATAGAGAAAGAGACAAACTTTTAGTGTTTAGCCATAAATGATGTGGCGTATCTACCTGCACTACATAATAGGCAAATATGTTAGTGCTCCTTGGCAGTTCAAAAGTCTTGAATGCCATCCACTGATAATTGTTTCCTTTACTACCAATTCTAAAGGCCTAATGCAATGTAAATACAACAAAAGTGAGCGCGATAGCACTAGTTAACATCTAAATCATTTTCAGCAATATAAAAATGAACTCAAGACAATAATGTCTCTCTGCAGATCCATAAAGTCTTGAATAGAGTTTATTCATTTATTTCTATTTCTCAACCTTATGCTAGCCTTTTAAAGCAAATCTTGAAGGTTACTTACTTTCAACCAGCATTATTTTACAAATTATTTTACAGAATCACGGAATCATTAAGGTTGGAAAAGACCTTTAAGATCATCAAGTCCAACCATCAACCCAACACCACCATGCCCGCTAAACCATGTCCTGACATGCCACGTCTATATGTATTTTGAATACTTCCAGTGATGGTGACTACACCACTTCCACTCTAAGCATGCAACTTTAAATAAAAATCTTCTAAAGGTGGCATTCGTTGGGCTTCTCTCGCATATCCTATTTCTTCCTTAAAGATACTTGATAAGCAAGAGTATGAGAATGGATGCAACATGTGAAGTGGCTTCACCCCTCCCTGCATATCTTGCCTTCTCAAGGCCAAAATTAGGACTGCAAATAAGAAGGAAGGTGGGTGGTGTCTGGGAATGACAGAAGTAGATAACAAACAACATTGGTTGGAAATAATTAACCTTCATTTCTTCTTCTAGAAGCATATGCAAATGTATATTCTCATGCTGTTCTTGGACTGTGAGGCAAAGAAGCCTAATTAGAAAGAGGTTGTAATATTGTTTTATCAAGTTGTGAAAAAGACCTGTATCTGTTTAAGGAATATCACTCATCAAAATTTTATACATGTATACATTGTACTATATGATATTGTTGAACACAAACAAATTAAGAGTCAGAGAACCAAAGCTGTGACGATACCAAGCATTGTACACCATCCCTGTCCCAGAGGTTGATCTTCTACAGGACAGCTGAAACATCCGTAAAGCAGTCCAGAATTGCCAATTTATGCCTCCCCCCCTGCAATCTATAAAGTCAGCATGTATTTTACTTACATAGATAGATATTACCTGGAAACTGCAGTCATTCAAGATCTTTTTCACTGTTTAATTAAAATACTTTCCTGTAAAGGTGAAAATTTGCAGCAAAGGGAAAACGAGTTGCAGGGAGGAACCATTCTAGCTGTCCAGCTTGAATTTTTCTGTGTTCTTAGGTCAAAACCTTATTTTAAAGGTGCTCTTGCTGTGAAAGTGGAATGATCGTCCCAGTAGGAAACCCCTTTAAGGGTCCAAAGTGGCACCAAATTTTTACATAGTGTGAAAATCATCTCACGTGATTTAACCTGCCAGATTTTACGTGCCTCAGCTGCAGTATATCTCAGAAGCACTCATATCAAACAAGTGCAGCAATCAAAATGCCATTCTCTTCACCATGGCCCAGGTTCCAGCACAACATTAGACCACATACAATAGCTCTGCAGGCCATAGTTTTGGAAATATCTATTAATTGCTCCCAGCAGTTCTGTATACCATTTTCATAACTAAGTACTTCATATCCTCTCACTTTCCTCTTTACAACCCCTAACCTTCTTTTGTTATTAAAGCGTCTAGGATCTCCTTTTGGCTTTTTCCTCCTTCTTAAAACTCATTATTTAGAAAGGTTGAGTTTGCTGTAATTCACTAGGAAAAAAAAAAAAAGAACCTAATATTACAAAAGGGTATGATCTGCATTTCCAGAAAGCTGCCTTCCCATAAATTGTGTATGATCATATGATTCAGCTATACAACTACCTGAAAGGGAGTTGTGGCAATGTGGGTGTTGGTCTCTTCTCCCAAGTAACTAGTGATAGAACGAGAGGAAATGACCTCAAGTTGCGCCAGGGCAGGTTTAGATTGGATATTACGAAAAATTTCTTCACCGAGAGGGTGGTCAACCATTGGAACAGGCTGCCCAGGGAGGTGGTGGAGTCACCATCACTGAAAGTATTCAAAAAATGTGTGGACGTGGCACTTTGGGACATGATTTAGTGGGCATGGTGGTGTTGGGTTGACGGTTGGACTTGATGATCTTAAAGGTCTTTTCCAACCTTAATGATTCTGTGATTACTGTCTAACATCAAATTCAATGGATGAAAACCCCATCTCTTCTATGTTTTCTAAATCTACACATAGCCCTGGCAAAACTCAAATGAGATAAATTTGGCTTCACACATTCCAAGCAGTGAATATAAAAAATCTGGAAGTGGCAAATACTTCCAGATTAAAACGTCTTTCCAATAACTATACTTCCAAATTTTCTTCAAATCATCACCACTAAAACAAAAATTCAGTCTGAAATTTCCACCTCTCCACTCAGCCCCAAATAACATCCTATTGAACACAATGACGAGTTATTAAATATACAATTCTAAAGATACAGCCTCAATGAAATATTTTTACCACAAGTCTTTAAATTCTTTGGCTTACAAATTCCAGATGTGTTTTCACTGCTGTATATAAAACAGCTGATATTTTTGCTCTGGAAGATGATTAAGACAATGATGACTTTAATGAGTGAAGTTTAAAAAAAAAAAGATAATTTGTCATGTGCCTTCAAAAATGATTGTATAACATATTGACAAGGTTACACTTATCAAATCATGCATTCACTCCTACTACTTCAACTTATATTAATACTGCTGGCTTCATTCAGACTACAACTGTACTTTAAACTTCAGAAAGATAAATTAATCCAGATCAAATGCTATACAACCCACGTAATGCAAAAACATTTCTTAAAGTTTTTTACATACAGAACTATGGTTTCAGTTTTCCAAATTATTTTCACACAGTATTTGCTCGTTGAAACTTTAGAACTACTTGCCCTCCAGGCACATTTTAACACTGTACTCTATGCCCAAGAGTAGAAGTAGTAATAACTTTCCTTGTTACAAGGAACCACGGAGAAACAGATGTTTCTGGTCATAAAATGTTGCATGATAGCATATTACCACTAAATTCATTAACAAAGTTGATTTAAAAATAAGTAACTGAGACAACATTAATAGGATACAGCTCCAGATTTCAGACATACGAATGCATGTGTATGAGCTATGTATCTGTAAACTTCCATTCTAGCCAAGAGTGATAGCCTAGCAGCTAACAAAACCTGAAAAGCTATTCAGGTCACTCTGAAGATGCCTAAATTTGTCACATGAATAGCGAGCTCAACTCCTGTAGCCAAATTGATTAGATTGATTGTAACAAGAACTCAACAGCTAGCTAAGCAGGCTCACATTTAATCATTAATATTTACTATCCACAATCTACAGCAGTATGTCACATCACAGGTAGATTAAAAATAATTAAAGGGAGACGACCAAGACAGTCACAAAAGGAAAGTAACGGTCTGTATCACAGCTCCTCAGATCCCATGCACATACAGCACAATCTGAATATACACTGGTGGTCCACAGGAGAATCCAAAGTACTGAGGCACAGGAGGTGAGGAGAATAAACATAAGGGACATAATTAGTCATACACACACAGAGTGCTGGAATCATTATTTTGAGGGATGGGAGTATGAAGATTGTTCCAGCTGCATAGATGTGTATATCTGTATCTATAGATGAAGTAGGGAAGTAGAGAACGCAGGTAACAGCAGTTGAAGCAATCACTGGCCAGTCAAATCCCTGTGACATTCAAGGAAGATGCCAGTGGACAGGGAATACTTTATTTTATTGCATGATTATTGTAGAAGTGCCATGCTTGTGAAACTGATTCCTCTTGAATCTTTAAGGTTGATATGTACGTAAAAAATACTTTCCTAATTTAGTTGTGAATAATGTGTAGTCTTCTAGATTACAACAAACAATTTGCATGACTTGTTTATACATAATATACTGTTAATTTTTTCAGAGAAAATAGTTTCCCTATTAATATGTTTATATGTTTTTAAATTTTTAATATATATTTAAGAGGCTGCTGAAAATTCAATATACAAACCAAACCACTTGGGAAGAGAGTAGACACTCCAGTTACAATTAGTCAGCAGGGAACTGGCTACTTACCTTCACTCTGTGCTCCTAAATTAACCTTTTGAGATAAAAAAGCAGCAGCAAGTTTAAAATGTAATCTTCAGTGTTTTGTAACTGTGCTGTTTTTAATATGTTTTTTTGCAGCTTTGATTTCTTTATAACATACATGCAGCCCAAAATAGCATCCTCTGCTTTTCCAAATCTTCCACAAGCCTGGTGGCAGGTATATCACATATTAAGTAGACAACAGTGTTGTCTGTGCTATCTGAAGACCTCACTCTAATTTAATATAGTGTGTCCCATCATTAACTTTTTGATGTTTTTCATAGAGTATACTCCCAGTGATGCCCAAGTTGATTTGAGTTCATATTAAAGAAAATGTTAAAACAAATACATCACCAGACTAAATGCTTACCAAATTCCATGTACATTGCTTCTACCAAATCCATTAAATTGCTACATATATCACAACTAAACAGACCATTACTAGACCTAATTTGCTAAGGCTGAATATTTTAAATGAGCAAGTTAACAACAGATGTTGATTTGATTATTCTAAATTTATTATAACAAGTTTTGAGAACTGATAAGCAACAGATTGGAAATCATCCAAGGGATGATTTCAAAGAAAAAAGAAAAGCCACCATATTTATTTTTTAAGTTGCCTTTTAGCTTTAATACTTCGTGACTCTTTTGAAATACTCAACAGTAAGTTGGGTTACAAATCTACCATCCAATTC